GAGAGACACCGTCTGGACCTTTGGTTTTCCTTATCTTCTGCTTTCTGAAGACTTTGCATACATCCTCTTCACAGATCTTGAGTGCAGGATGAGAAACCGTAGGGGGGAGGGAGGGGGAGGGTGTTGATGGCTGTGCTTTGAAACGGTCGGGGTGGGTGTGGGGTGTCAGACCAGGCTTTTGCTTTTCAAACCTGCAGTAGAACTCGTTCAGGTCTTCAGCCAGTTGTTGATTGGCCTCAGTGCTGGGGGATGGGGTCTTGTAGCGGGTGATGGCTTTCGGGCCTTTCCACACTGATGTAGGGTCATTACTTGAAAGCTGTTTTTTTTTAGCTTTTCAGAGTAGTTTAACTTTGCCACTCTTATCTCCCTATTCAGTGTGTATTTGGCCTGTTTGTACAAGTCTTTGTCCCCACTCTTGTAGGTGTCCTCTTTGGCCTGGTGAAGCTGTCCTCTGACTAAAATGTCCAGTAAAACATCTGAATGCTCAAATGTCGGCAGAAAGTTATTTGGTGTGCTATTTCTGATGTCCAGGAGTTCGTTCTTAGTAAAGCTGATCGGGAAAAAATTGCTTAAAACAGGACAAACAAACCAAAAAAGTACAAGTACCAAGTACCGACAAACCATGGCTGCCATCCGCGGCGCCATCTTGCGTATTAACTGCTGGAGACAAAGAACAATGTATTTCCAGCTACTTAGATTGAGAAATAAATGACCAGGTATAGTAATATAAACACGAATTTATGGTTCCCCCCCCCCCCCTTGTTTCTGTAAATATGAAATCTGGCAAGTAACAGATAAATCAACAAAATATCATTCGTTTGATCTAAATGCTTAAAACTATGCTATAAATATCAAACATAACTATAAAACCACAAGAAAATGTTAATACCTAGAGGTGTCACGTACAAAAATCACGGTATTTTCACACAGTCAACAATGAATTAATCAATAAAAAAATAATTAAATTAATAACTATGCAATCACAATGTTTGCGATTGGCCGAGATTAAGTTACACACACAGAACCATTTAAGTGATGCATCAGGGTCAACACTGATATAAAACCACACAATTATAATCAAAAAATCATTTAATGAACGAATATGAAAATATAAATATTAAACACAGCTATGCAAAAACATCAAAAGCAAATGAAAAAGAAGTGTTCCAGATTATTCCAGGTGGCTCTAGTCGTCAGGATCTGCTGCTGTGTCTCCAGGACAGTTTGAGCTCAGATCCTCCTCATCTGTTGAAGAACAGTTTATTTATCATTTATGTATCTGCTCAAACATTCATTATACGCAGCGCCGTTTCTAGGCATAGGCAAACTAGGCAGTCGCCTACAAGTACTTTTTACTTTTATAGCTGTTTATTATTTATTCTAAGTCAAAAATGTCTTCACAATGACAGCAGAGTCATGTATAAACTGTAAATTCCCGATATGACCTGTTTTTTTTCTCTCTCTTTTTGTAAAAACGTTATGGGAAAAAATTGTTAATAGGTTAACAGTAAGTTCCTATACTATATACACTGTAAAAACTGTAAAATATCTAACCAGACATTTCATGTAATTTTACAGTAAAATGCTGTTAATTTTACAGTTTTTAGAAGAGAAAATAAAAAAATCAATGTATAATTTACAGTCAAAAACTATAAACTGATATTCCCAGAATTCCCTGCATGACACTGCACATTTGAAAGTATTTTGTTTAAATAATCATGTTTTTTAATAGTTTTTGTTATTAGTTATGTATATTTGGGCTTTATGTTACATCTTCTGTTGTTTAATGAAAGTTGAATGCATTATTTAAGTATCATGTGTGTTACCATGATGGTGTTTTGTGTTTGCATGAATGACTCTGTGCACCTTCTACAGGTGCATCTCAATAAATTAGAATGTCGTGGAAAAGTTCATTTATTTCAGTAATTCAACTCAAATTGTGAAACTTGTGTATTAAATTAATTCAATGCACACAGACTGAAGTAGTTTAAGTCTTTGGTTCTTTTAATTGTGATGATTTTGGCTCACATTTAACAAAAGCCCACCAATTCACTATCTCAACAAATTAGAATACTTCATAAGACCAATAAAAAAAACATTTTTAGTGAATTGTTGGCCATCTGGAAAGTATGTTCATTTACTGTACATGTACTCAATACTTGGTAGGGGCTCCTTTTGCTTTAATTACTGCCTCAATTCGGCGTGGCATGGAGGTGATCAGTTTGTGGCACTGCTGAGGTGGTATGGAAGCCCAGGTTTCTTTGACAGTGGCCTTCAGCTCATCTGCATTTTTTGGTCTCTTGTTTCTCATTTTCCTCTTGACAATACCCCATAGATTCTCTATAGGGTTCAGGTCTGGTGAGTTTGCTGGCCAGTCAAGCACACCAACACCATGGTAATTTAACCAACTTTTGGTGCTTTTGACAGTGTGGGCAGGTGCCAAATCCTGCTGGAAAAATGAAATCAGCATCTTCAAAAAGCTGGTCAGCAAAAGGAAGCA